GTTAGCCGCCTTTCCATATGTGCTAGTCGCTTCTTCACATCCAGCACCTTGAAGATCGGCTCCTCCGTTAGTGCTGTTGCATCGTGCTTCTTTTGCAGTTCCTTAAACCACACCTGAATATCACAGTGCACAAGCTTCACCCTACCCTCCTAATTTCCCATCCTTCCTCACCTCAAATTCATCAGTATCATTGCTGACCTTCAAAACCGTCTCGTTGGCCACCCATGTACGATTAGTCGATACCTGAACAACCCCTAGAGCAGCTATCGAGGCCAAGACCCAACCCTACATTCTCCAACACTTTTCTGATACCCTCCACCTTCCTCGACACCCATTCCGGCAGGTCAGCACGTAACTCGACCTCATCAGCACGGAAGAGTATCGGCATCTGACCATCTCCCCATAGGACACAGACCCCACCTCCCTCCTAGCCTACCACAGCCTTCTTCAGACTGTCCAGCCGCTTCGTGTATTCCTCCAGCTGAGCATCGAAGCCATCCTCATAAAGCCAGTCCTCCGACTCCGATAGAGTCTCTAACACATACCGCAATGACAATCTTCCAACTCCAGCACGCCTACTCATGATGCCCGTCCTCATGTCCTCAGTGGTGACCTTATTCACCATCTCATCGTCCCCTCCCAGACGCTCTCTGAAACATACTTTCACCCCATGGGTCAGCCGCGACAACCCCACCTGCTGGAGTATATGTAGGCCTCAAAGTCATTCCGAGCCGACTCAGTGTCCTTCACCCGCTGGTCACGCTTGTCCAGGGCTTTCCCTGAGTACTACCAACATGACATCAAACTACCAGTAACATCAACTTCAATACTTCTTCGAATCGCCCTGCTGATCTCCTCCTCATCCATCGGCCTCGGATACCCCTGTTCCACTACCTTCTGGGAGAGGGTGACTACCAAGAAACCGTTAGTCCAGAGCAGCTCAAGCCCACACGTCTCACCAAATGCCTTCGACTTCACCATCTTCCAAGTGGGTTGCTGCTCAGCCTCATCACCATCAGCAGCAGCAGGAGCGGTGCCAGTCTTGGTCGAGTTAGTGTCCGTGCCTAAGCCAGACCAGCACTACCCCCTAGAGCTTCTATGAGACACCTACTGTTATCAACGCCAGGTGTCTCAGTAGCGTTAGCGGCACCCGATGCATCATTGGTAGAGTTAGTCTCCTTAGGGACCACCTTAGGTGCTTTAGGCTTGACGGTCTGAAGCGATCATACATCATCCTCTACTAGTCTCAAGAGCCACCACTAACACCCTAGCCCACCTGATTCCTCAACGTCTCGAAAATAGCCTGAGCCTTGTTCATTCTCACAATACCACTAGAGTCCGACTCGAACTTCAACTCAACCTGCAAGAGGAATGACCATCCTCCCCACACGACCAAGGACTTACCGTGGGCAGATCGGCGAGTGACGGAAGTTCGAGCGTTGGGTCCGCAGCCATTGCAGCATCAATGATCTCTTTCCGCCTTAGTTGCTGCTTCGGCACAGCGCTCTCACTCCAGTAATGTTCATGGTTTCAAGGAGGTTATCGTCTTCAAGATGCTCAGCTTAAGATCGAA